GCAAATCTTTGCCAATCAGGCTTCTTCTTGGTAAGTTGGACTTCTAGAATATCTTTAATCCAGCCAGCATGTCCATTCCAGTAAAGCTGATGAGGAAAGTTTATGCAAAGTCCTTCAGAACAGGCAGAAGTCTTGTAGCAAAAGGTCACTGTTTATAAGGCAATCAAACCTGTTGCTTGAGGGAAAGATATCCCAGAGACCTAAGCAAACCATTGAAAATGAAATAAGCAATCACATATGATCCCTGGTATAAAACATAATATGACTTTTCCATTATATATTTAATTATATCATTAATTTTGCCACTGATACTAGTATGGGGAAAAAAATAAAGAATTTGAAGATCCAAGTAGAGTATATCACTGATTTTTAAACAGCTACATCTCAGCAGGTTGATGTTCTCTGGGTCTCTAAGCTAACAGGATTGGTGAATGCTTGGACAGAATATCAGAAGATAATACTGGGCTTTAGGCTAGACTGGGAAGTCAAAGCCATCTCAGAATAAGGCGCTTGCAAATGGTTTCCATTCTATTCTTGTTCAATCTGTGGGCTTCCCTAGCTAAACCTTTCTGGTGGTCTGATCCTCCATAGCTGCCTCTGTCCTTGAGGTCATCCATAGTTACTTTATTGTTAGTGTAATAATTTGCAACTTGCTTCTAATAGACTTGTTATCTCTTACTGAGAAACTTAATGTATCTCAGCAGGTAATTGTATTTACCCCCAAGATATTCAATTTATAATTCTATTTGCAAATTGTTACATCAAGTTACAGCAAATAAGAGGACTGCATACAATCTCCAAAGTAAAACCATCACCACAAAGACACATAGAAGCTATTTGTCCTCATTCAGACTTAAAAGACTCCTTTTAAAAAGCCCTTTAACCTGAATTCTTCAGACATTCTTCTTCCAAACTACGTCAGTCAGAATATTTTTTATTCCCATAGCTCCCTCCCCTAATGGCTTTACTAGTTACATGATTAATAAGGAAAGGGCATAATAAATATTTAAATCAGATTCTCAACTTTGAGCATATTTCGCTGCATTTCTCATCATGCCTGCAACTGGATTAAGTTAAGAAACCGTAGACAGCAGGTTGGAACACTTCTCAATTTAATTCCAAGCTACTCGTTTAAAAAACTAACATCAGCATTGAACCAGAAACCATTTGGCCCCCAACCTTCTTATAAGGACATCCCTGAGAAACAATGTCTTGAAACCATGTAGTTTGTGCACCAAACATTACCAGTATTCCAAACATCATGTAAGATCTACTCCAGGGGTCTCCAAACTTAGCCCTTTTAAGACTTGTGGACTTCAACTTCCAGAATTCCTCAGCCAGGCACACTGGCTGAGGAATTCTAGGAGTTGAAGTCCACAAGTCATAAAAGGGCCAGGTTTGAAGACCCCTGATCTACTCCATGACTTTGTTTGTTGGGTCAGTCTGCTGGTCCTTTTAAAGAACCTGTCCTAAAAGGTTTGTTCAATTGTCCTTTCCAAGAAATAGTGTCTATTTGTTTGTTTGAAAAAAAAATACAAAATATTTTTAGCACCTATACCTTTTATACTCTTCTTTATAAAGATTGTAATATGGTTGCTTTGTTTAGAGGGCCACAATAATAATCAATTAAATAAATATTTTACTGCCTAGAATTGCAAATCAACCAATTATACAGAAATTCCCTGAATATTTAAAAGTAGGTTTTCATGCATACATCTTTCTTTCTGTCTTCCTAGTTGACCTTGGCTAGGAAAAACTAAGCATTGTCAAACCTAGCTAGTGCTTGGATATCCAGGATACCCAGGAAAAAATAGAGTTCTACATTACTGGGAATTCAAAAAGCATCACTCAAGACAGCAAGAAACCATTTGACCAAGATAAGGCAATGAGTATGTCCTTTCCAAAAAGCTGAACTCAACCTTATTGGTTTTCTTCTTTTTTAGCTATTATCTGTGCTATAGTGCCATTTCCTCTATATGGAGGGTTTTGACTATATTGTTTTCACTGAAGTGCCATTTTATTGTACATCATTGTAAACCACAAATTATTCCATCAGGCTCTAGAATTTAGAAATTTAGAAAAAAAAGATTTTGTTACAAAATATTTGCAGGAATGTCTATTGTGATTCTGACATGACATATGCTGAGTTAAAAGGTTTCAGAGGTCCTTCTAGTACACCCTTAGAGAAGAAATAAATCAGCAGCATAGTTCTTTGTAGAAAGGATTTTCAGTTCCTTTTGTTTAAAATGAAAAACATACACACAACCCTCCCTTTACATATGGAGCATATAGAAGACAAAAGAGACCATGCTAACCCAGAACATATGTTTTTGACTAAAATTACATTACAGCTTATTATGTCCATCCCTGAAACAGTATACTATAGTTTATTACAATTGCCAAGGGCAGCTTTATATAAATCCATTACATGCTGACTACAGAACAAAACAACGTCTAATACCACAATAGGTACAAAACATTGCCTTAAATTATAGCAGAGAATCAAATTATTTATTCTTTTAATGCTTTCTATTCTATCCTTTCCCCAAAAAGTTCAGAGTGAATGGAGATTTTTCTCCCTATACCGTTTTAACCTCAACAATTATGAACACAAGATTAAATTTATAGTCAACTTTATGGCTGAATGAGAATTTGACTGACTATCCATAACTGACACACATCCCTATACAAAATGTATACCTTGCTGAAGGTGGAGCAGAAGGAATCACATTTCTAGATGAAGCTTCTTTGCTGAATTTTGTCTCTGTGTGGTACATCCTGAGCACTGGCAAATCTGAACAACTATATCAGCAAAATGTGGTCCAAATTTGTCTTAATTAATTCTTAATAAATTCTTAATAGAGAGTTGGTCAACCAAAATATGGCTATTAGACAATGGCTCTATGATACAATAAGAGAGGAAAAGTAAAAGTGATTCACTTCTCTTATCACCAAACATGAGTGTAAACTTGTATTTAATCAGCATATTTCCTCATCTTTCTCCACTAGCACTCTAGGTATCCTTTCTAATACTTTATTTCTCAGAAGTTCTCAGTAAACTAAAAAGTCTATTAAAATAGTCCAGCAGTCAGAAGTTGCTTGGGGCAATCTTGTCCACCACTTGGCTTACCTCTTATTGCCAGTGGCTCATTCAGTCCGAGCTGCCTACCAGATTGCTATGGAACTCTCCAAATATCCTTTGAGAACCTGCTGGATCCATCAGGTGCTTAAGGTAGACCTTCAAAGGCCTGGAGACTAAAGCATATGAAGAACGGGTATGGAACTTGGGCTTGGCTAGTCTAAAGAAAAGAAGAAATAGGGGAGACATGATAGCAGTGTTCCAGTATCTGAGGGGCTGCCACAAGGGAGAGGAGACCAGGTTGTTCACCAAAGCACCAGAGGGAAGGATGAGAAACAATGATTGGAAACTGATCAAAGAGAGAAGCAACCTGGAATTAAGGAAAAACTTCCTGACAGTGAGGACAATTTACCAGTGGAACAGCTTGCCTTCAGAAATCATGGGCACCCCATCACTGGAGATTTTAAAGAAGACACTAGACATTCATCTGTCTGAGATGGTATAGGTTCTCCTGCTTGAGCAGGGGGATGGACTAGAAGACCACCAAGGTCCATTCCATTCTATTCTATTCTATATGGTACCTCTTCTGTGGAGATTGCAGATGACAAACCCTGAAAGAAGTCAGGACCTGATCTGAACATTGCAAAGGGAATATGGAAATCTCTCCATATCCAGATCTCACATCTCAGACATAAACATAATATATGACCACTTACATATGTTAATATACATGGTTGCAGTTTACGAAGGTGAGGGAATCTTTTTTGAGACTCTATGAAGATGAAGTACTGCTTTAGGTTGATGTGCCTTGGTGTCACTCAGGCTCAGGACATTAACTGGCAGATAGGTCAATGCTTGCATATTTAATAATTTGGAATGGAATAAATTAAGTCAGATTGCTCTGGGTCCCAGAGTATGTTTTCCTAACAACCACAGAAGTATAAGTGCTAAGAGGGATAATAAAGTGCACTTCATATTGCAAAGCACTCATTATTTAAGAGATAATTAGATATAATTGCATTAGGAAAGCAACAGAAACATCACTTTTTAATCCTACTTTTTTCTTCATGTATTTTGGACTCCATCATCTCAGTCTTCACATCACTGATGTGGTTAGTAAAAACTTATTTTGAGGGCAAAGATGGGAAGGCTACAATAAATCAATATACTAAAAGCTTAATATAATTATCTGATATTTGAGATACTCCAAATACAAATGAAATAAATGTCACTTTTTTATTTCATGCCAACTATACAATTGTATCATAATGAATTCTATTCTAAATCACTCTATTATCATGGACATCCATCCATAACCACAATGATCTCAAACAGGCAAAACATGCATTGTGACCGTAGCACAGTTCCACTCTTTCAGACTTGCATCAGGTCATCACACCCAAATATGTCAAAGATGAAGCTTCCATTCTAATGTCACAAAGCACATTTCATCCTTGGCCCCCCGTATGGATATCTATGGCTTTACTATTTGTTCATGTGTCAGAAAATATTAAATAATATTTTCAATAAATTATTCAGTGATTACAGTTTGAATTGCCCCACAAACTGGTTTATATTTTTTCATTCTGTATGCATTTGCAAGATATTTGGATATTACCTAATGAGGCAGAGTTAATGCATATCTTGATAAGACTGTGCAAAATATACTTGTGGGAATCTAATGGCTAAATATACTGTCAGGCTCGAAATATTGGATTTTGATACTTTGGAGACATTATGCAAAGCCCTAACTCTCCTGAAAAGGTTCAGACACTGAAAAAGATGAAAGGAAGGATAAAAGAGGATGACCAGCAGCCAAGTGACTGGAGTCAATAAAAGTAGCAATGAGTACACCAATAACAATAATAACAATAACAACAACTTTATTGTCACTTTGAATGTACATCAGTTGGCATACACCAAAATGAAATTTCATTGCATACAGCTCTCAAAGGGTCACCATTGCAAGATCTTAAGGACCAGGAACAAATCTTCAGGGGAAAAAAATATATATATATGGTCACTAAGAGTCAATATCAATTTCATGGTATGTAATCAATCAAAATTATTCTGTGCTCAGTATTAATTTTGAAATCTTAAATATGGTTAAGATCTGGAAGAAAAGGTTTCACACGTAAGAAATCAGACCTTGCGATGCAGTAACTAAGCTGTATTGCAGGTTTTGCCAGACACCACCTTTACAAAGAATAATATAATCAGATAAAATATTTTTAAAGTTTAAATCAGGTTAATTGCTAAGTTTACTTTTAAGCCAATATATATGTCTAACCACATGTGGAACTCAACAATTTATCTATAATGTGATCGTGTTGTTTTTTTAAAAAAAATCCTGTCACGCTGTTAACTAGAATAGTGGAGACAGACTGCTTAAGCAAAGCACTAATTAAATTCTTATCAGCTAGATAAAATGTACATCTGGCCTAAGCTCTGAAATAGAGGCAAACAGCCAAACTGCTTAGCTAAGTAACTTTTAAAAATTATTTCCTACCCATGATGCTCTGCAACTAAGTAAAAAAAAAAAAAAAACCCACACCAAAGGTTTAAAATGGTCCAAGTGTAAGCTGGTTTGTATTAGCAAGGATGCCACATAGATTCTTGCCTTATAAAATGATCCTCCACAGGTGTCGCTTTCATCTGATCCACACAAATCACCTTCTCTGGCAGCAATCATGCCAGCAATGCAGCTATTCTCCTTTAAGTACGAGACACAGCACTGCTTTTGAGCAATTCTGCAACAAATAAAAAAGATATTGCTTTCACTACACAGGCTGTTTCTGGTGAATACTCTTATATAGCAAATACGGATGGCATAGGACATGAGCAGTATATGTTTAAAGTGTATCATCTCAAATTTAAACAAATATTTATACCAGTCGTACAACTGGCAGTTTATGCTCTTTCTATTTATATCATTTTGCTTAACATAAACTACCTAGCAGATACCATGTCATACAAGTCATACAACTGGCAGTTTATGCTCTTTCTATACCAAGTCCTACAACTAGCAGATTATGTTCTTTATAGTTATATCATTTTGCTTAACATCAGCTGCCTAGCAGGTGGTTAGGCTTCTCTGAACAAACGGAATGGACCACAACAAAGGAAACTTGAAACTAAATGGTGCAGGAAGGTGCTATATACGAGTGTAAGCATAAAAATGCCAGTGGTTAGCACTAAAAATGGAGAAGAAATCAAACCTATACAAAACTAATACTGAGTTTTGCAGATATACTTCCTTATATCTCCTTAAGCTATAACCCAAACGTGTACCATTTACATTTTATGATAAAGTTCATAGATACAAAAAAGAACAGAGAAAATGATACATTCAAGGACTTCTATTTGGTCTGAACGCAATTTTATTCATTATATTCAAGAAAAGCACATGAATATAATTATTAAATTCAGGGAAATTCCTTGGGAAAATGATTTCACTATGAAGTTGCAGACAAAGGAGAAAAACATGAACATGGATGCCATAGTTTGGTTCAGATTTTTAATGCAGTTTTTAACCTTTAAAACAATGGAAATTTCAAGTTAAAAATACTTTATCACTACGCAAAACCATATTTGTCTGCTGTGACTTTAGTTCATCATGGGTATCTACATTTTGCTATAAAAGTATTGCATCTGCTCCCCCCCCCAATATACAGTAGTATTTGTAAAAAGAGGAAGTATGGAATCAAAAAAAAAGAGACAAAGCTGCATTTCTCAATTTCTAGTCAATAAAACCAATTTTATTATTTCTTCATATTTATACTTGGCTAGGGCTAATTCATTTATAATTAATTTACTTATTTCTATTCAAGCCATACAAACTTGGTGCAATGCAACATATCCAGCATGTTATTATTTAGGTGGTGCAAATAGTTCAAAGAGGCACTCTGCTCATAGCTACGTTGTTCCACTACATATAACAATGCTGCATATCCAAAAATATCTGCATAACCAAAGCTTTTGTGGCTTTGTCAACTTAAAATATTAACCATGATTTGACCAAAGCTACATATTGCTACAACAACAAAGATGTATCAGGTAATTGCTAAATTGGCTGGAATCTTTTAGTTCTGAATTTGTTTCAAAGTACCTGATCCAAAAGTGCAAAACTGTATATTTTGTGATAAAAACAAGATTCCAACATTTCAAAAAATTCTGAGTAAAACAGATTATCTAGATTCATTTTCAGTCTGACTATAAATCCAGAACTCCCAGTTCAGGTGATATATACCAGAACTGAGTAAAAATTGCAAGGCAATCCTGTCAATCAAGATACCCTTCTCAATAAGTCCCAAAGGTGCTTTTTGCCCGAAACAACTGGACTTTCTTGTTTTTATTTTAAGATGTTTCGCTTCTCATCCAAGAAGCTTCTTCAGCTCTGATTGGATAGTGGGGAACGGCAGGATTTATAATCCTTGCAGACAGCTGGTCTGCATGACCTGGATGACTGAAAATCTCCATAGACGCTTACCTTCTCAATAAGCGTCTTGGAATGCCTTTTGGAGGCAAATTTTGTAGTGGCTCTTGTTGAGGAAGGGGGATTCCGAAAATAGTACTGTGAAATTTCTGTTTAATGCCATGCTTGCTGATCTGGTCTTCCAAGTCACTGAATTTTGAGACAATTTTTTTTCTGGGGTCTATTATTTTGGTTCAACTTGTATGCAGAAGTTGCCCAAATTTTCTCTTTTTTTGACAAGCACCAGAAGGCTATTCATTAAAACAAAACAGAGATTTGATAGTTATATTTGCACTTCCAGTGAAGAAGTGCACTGGACAAAAGCATCCATTCCTTGAATTTGGCCTGTTGCAACATAATTTATACGGTATGGAACTATCTTTAGAAGCTAGAAGTGTCAGCTATAGTACTGTTTCAGCAGCTTTGCTGGCTGTTAATTTGCAGCAGTCGAATGCAGTATAAACTGCTGATTATGAATATAAAATTTACAGGACTTGAGAGAAGGCTATTTGAATAACAAGTTATACCATCAAAATTCTGTCCCAGGAAGGAAGGTATATTTGACAAAAATGTGAGAAGAGACTTTCTCAGTCGCTTATCTCAATTTACAGGAAGTTGGCCTAAAATTAATTAATTTTACATTTCATGTAACTTAACCACATTCCAAAGGACTCTGAGCAATATACAACAAAACCCAAATCAAAATCAAAAAGTGTAATAACAGATAGATAAATCCAGCTTTCCAAAAAAAAAAAAAAAAAAAAACAGAAAAAGGCAAGAGGAAACCCATAAAACCAAAGTAAGGCCCACATTCAGCTGGAACCAAAAGAATATTGAAATAAAATGCCTTTAACCTTTTTCTGGAATTTCAGTAAAGTGGGAATGCACATATTACTGGAGAAGCAATATTCCAGAAGGTGGAACTACCACAGAAAAGACCTATAGTAAAATGCTTTGATTTAAACATGCTTTTGACATATATAATCTGGTCAAGCTACTGAAATGGGTCAATGTCACTTTGTTATAGGCCAATTTGGTCTCTGGTATTCAGTAAGCTTTTATATTGTATCATCTTCAGTGCATCTTCTTTACTGTCCTTCAGATACTCTTCCAATGCCCTTTCTTCTTCTTCAACTGTTTGGTGTACTTACAACTTACCTATTTTCCTTGGTAAGTAGATGTCAACATTACTACATGGATAAAGAGCATGATTCAATATCATTATTTTTCCGGTATTCCTATCAAGGACTTTTCATTCTTCTTGAGCCAAGTCCACTATTCCAGTTTTATATCTAATAACTGGAATTGCCCAGGAGTATTTTCTCCACTGAGTTTAAACTTTAGGATCTTCACTATCATGATGTATTCACTTCTATTCTGTTTTTTTATTTCCATGTGCTTGATGTTGTCATCTTGAAGAATGCCCAGATATTTGTAATGATCTGAGGAAAAAAGATTAGCCCCACGTTGACACTCTTTTACAAGGCCCTGAAGACATGCCAATGGGCCTGAGGACTCCAGAGTGGCTGGTTTTATTGTTGTAACCAGGGGGTCGGGGGGTTATTGGTTTTTTACCGACATTTTATCTTTGAAGCTGCTCATAGTCACCGTGAGTGAATTGGCAGCCATATACATTTTTTTTCTCTTTTTTATTTTATTTTATTTTATTTTTAACCAACAAAAAAACAAAACAAAGCAAAACATAACACACATACACACACAGTATATACTTGATGTTATTTTCATAGGGTGTTTCAATTCTTCCAGTTTTACTATCTTTCCCTTTTTGATGGAAGAGTGACACATTTGTACAATTCATATTCCATTGCAATACTTTGGCTGTATATAGCATACATTTGGGCAGAATTGAGCAGAGATTCCATTTTAGATGGTGTTTTTCCACACAGCAGCAAAATTGTCCACGTAAAGGAAGTGAAGTAGCCTGACAGATGTTTTTGATGTTTGAAAATCATGGCCTGACTTGTTCAGGATTCTTGACAGAAGAATCAGTACAATGACAAACAACAATGGCAACAATAGATGCTGATGTAATTAAAATTATTTGCTGTGTAAATAAGGTGAAAATGTCCCAGAAAAGAAAAAAAAGCAAGCAGCTGGATTACTCTGGATTAAGGATTGGATAAACCTAGACAATAAAAAGGTTTTAATGATTGAAGAACATGACCTGCAGGCTGGCTGGCATGCCTTTTTATGGGGAAAACACAAGAAAACATACACATATTTTTATCAACATCAGATAAGAGATGCGCTGATTCGGACATGGGAAAAAGTTAAAAAAAGACACTATATGAAAATCCCAAATTGGATCCCACCAATGGAGGCAATGATTCACCCTAACACATTGGATAAAAAAAAGATGATTAGATACAAAGAAGTACTAGATAACCAAGGAAACCTCAAATCAAGAGAAGAATTAGAAGAACAGGGAATAATTATAGATTGGTGGCCATATTTACAGATTCAATCTAAACAAAGTAAGGATATGGAAGAGCACGGAATAAATCAGACCCCACAGCAATTGGATAAAATTTTAACAGGTAAGGAAGGCAATTTTCTACAAAAACTTATAAATATTTATTAGAGGTAGATTTGGAGGAAGAAATAGTGAAAGGGCCAATGATAGCATGGGCATGAAATGTGGGCCGAAATATAAAATTGGAAGAATGGGAAAGTAGTGTTAAGGAAAAAAAATGTATTTTTATTTTGTTGTATAGTGAAAAAGGAATAAATAAAATTTAAAAAAAAGAAAGAAAATGTCCCAGAAAAGAAAAAACATCTGGGGCTGAAAATCATAAGTATAAAGCTCAACTCGAAGAAAAAAAGAAACAAGAGAGTGGCTCTTTGAAATTTCTAATAAAATTGGAAGATGAGTGAAAACATAGAGGGTGCCAGAAAGTGATTTTGCTTAGGGCACCAAAATGTCTAGGCCTGCCTGCTAGCAATCTCCTATGGCTACAACAACCTTGATCTTCTTTAGGTTGAATTGAACTTTTTCTGTCTCTGGAAATCTGAGCTAGCTAGATAGTTCCATATCCTTTCATTTTCCTCCCTGCATCGCAATTTGTATGCCAAAATCATCCTGAATTCTGTATTTGTTCAGCAACCCAAGACTGCCAAATGGCATCTTTATTCACAAGTCATTTTATTTCTTCTTCCCTTCAAAGCTCAACATCATTAGTTCCCTGCCAAATTTTTAGCCCCTGAAACTGTGTATGTGTGTGTCCCAAGCTCTTTTCCTATCTCAAGTTATCACAAATAGTCTGTATGGTTGGAAGATCACATGACAGAATGGCAGATGGTATTTATTCTCTCCATTCTGTCACAGTACGGAATGCCATGTTTTTATCACAAAACGCTTTCTTTTGCAAAGTCACAATATAAAGATTAGCTGTTTTGGAAATTATGTTACAGTGAGTTGCTTTGAAATTAATAGAATTTTATGAGCATGAATTCAGCCTGACACTGGGATATGAAATGAAAATAAAGATCCATTAAAATACTACACCTTTTTATTCAGGGAGCATTTTAAATGTGAATTTCAACAATTTAATTTCCCATTGTGCTAGATTGTTTTTTTTTTTTTCTTCACAGCTAGAATAATTAGATTTCTTTTTCTTTACTGGAATACTTCTACTGCTTTAGATCAAGAGTTCTGTTCCTTCAAATATCTTTAATAGTGCACTCACTATTAGAATAGAATAACAGAGTTGAAAGGGACCTTAGAGGTCATCTAGTTCAACCCCCTCCTCAGGCAAAAAACCCTATACCATTTCAGACAAGTGGTTGTCTGATCTCTTCTTAAAGACTTCCAGTTTTGGAGTATTCACAACTTCTGGAGGCAACTTGTTCCATTGATTAATTGTTCTAATTGTCAGGAAATTTCTCCTTAGTTCTAGGTTGCTTCTCTACTTGATTAGTTTTGATCCATTGCTTCTTGTCCTGCCTTCAGGTGCTTTGAAGAATAGTTTGACTCTCTCTTCTTTCTGGCAGCCTCTGAGATATTGGAACACTGCTATCATGTCCCCCCTCGTCCTTCTCTTCATTAGACTAGACATACCCAATTCCAGCAACCGTTCCTTATATGTTTTAGCCTACAGTTCCCTAATCATCTTTGTTGCTCTTCTCTGTACTCTTTCTAGAGTCTCAACATCTTTTTGTACATCACGGTGACCAAAACTGGATGCAGTATTCCAAGTGTGGCCTTACGAAGGCAATAATAAAGTGGTATTAACACTTCACATGATATTGATTCTATCCCTCTGTTAATGCAGCCTAGAATTGTGTTGGGTTTTTTGGCAGCTGCAGCACACTTAGAGATATATGAAGGAACTGAACTCTTAATCTGCAAACAGTCATATGGATGTTAACAGAATATACAACAAGGGACTCCTTGGTGCTCCCTGAGCTTGATTCTTTGCTTGCAGACATTGTGATACCAGTGTCAGGATTCTGATAGATGAGACCAGTAAAAGCAGAACTCTAAGGCAAAAGATTTCTTTTAAGACTATGTTTATTGGCTACAAAGTCAAAAGTGAAACCAAGTCTGGAATTCCCTCCCAAGCATTGTTGTTGTTGTTAATTGCGAAGTCGTGTCCGACCCGTCGCGACCCCATGGACAATGTTCCTCCAGGTCTTCCTGTCCTCTACCATCTTCTGGAGTCCATTTAAATTCACACCTACTGCTTCAGTGACTCCATCCAGCCATCTCATTCTCTGTCGTCCCCTTCTTCTATTGCCCTCAATCTTTCCCAGCATTAGGCTCTTCTCCAGTGAATCCTTCCTTCTCATTAGGTGGCCAAAGTACTTGAGTTTCAACTTCAGGATCTGGCCTTCTAAAGAGCAGTCGGGGTTGATCTCTTCTAGGACTGACCGGTTTGAACGCCTTGCAGTCCAAGGGACTCGCAGGAGTCTTCTCCAGCACCATAGTTCAAAGGCCTCAATTCTTTTGCGCTCAGCCTTTCTTATGGTCCAACTTTCACAGCCATACATTGCAACTGGGAAAACCATGGCCTGGACTATACGCACTTTTGTTGGCAGGGTGATGTCTCTGCTTTTTAGAATGCTGTCTAGATTTGCCATAGCTTTCCTCCCCAGGAGCAAGCGTCTTTTAATTTCTTGGCTGCAGTCCCCATCTGAGGTGATCTTGGAGCCCAGAAAAATAAAATCTGTCACTACCTCCATTTCTTCCCCATCTATTTGCCAGGAATTGAGAGGGCCGGATGCCATGATTTTGGTTTTCTTAATGTTGAGTTTCAAGCCAACTTTTGCACTCTCCTTCTTCACCCGCATCAAGAGGCTCTTTAGTTCCTCTTCACTTTCTGCCATTAGAGTGGTATCATCTGCATATCTTAGGTTGTTGATATTTCTCCCGGCAATCTTAATTCCAACTTTTGATTCATCTAGCCCTGCCTTTCTCATGATGTGCTCTGCATATAAGTTAAATAGGCAGGGCGACAGTATACAGCCTTGCCGGACTCCTTTTCCAATTTTGAACCAATCAGTGGTTCCGTGTTCGGTTCTCACTGTTGCTTCTTGACCCGCATATAGGTTTCTCAAGAGACAAATGAGATGGTCTGGTACTCCCATCTCTTTAAGAACTTGCCACAATTTGTTGTGATCCACACAAT